CAACTCAAGTCACACTATTTACCGTCCATATAGCTGAAGTCGTTTGTTGATTATGTTTTTGTATTTAAGAGCGTAGATTGGCAATTACACTGTATCTAAACTACCCCGGCGAAAAATGTTTGGACTCAATAGTATCTAATTTCCGGTAACGGACAATAAACAGACAGAGAAATGTAGAAATTCTGTTTATTTATTTGTTGTTTTAATGATATTGAAGAATATACATTCACATATAACTATTTTCGATAGTGTGATGTAATATTTTCTACCACCGTTCTAGATTTATGGAGAAATAAGTAAAAATGCACATCAAAATGGTGAATTGAGTGAACCCTGCCTCGAATTTGTTTAATTTCTCTTTAAATTGAGCACATTGTACGGAAAGAAAGGTACGGAAAGAAAGATATTAACACGGAGATTTCAAGACTTTTCACTATGATCGCCTCAATATTTGCATGTCTGTGCATGGAATGAAAGAAGTGGGTCATGTCAAAATTGAAGCACCCGGTTTTGTCAATGTGTACGACCCGGTTTTGTCCTTATATTTCACAAAGCAGACCCGGTTTTGTCATAGAAAATAATGCATAATCGCATGACGAAAATTAAAATACGGCGTTCAACAGCAGTTTGAGGGATCGTTGAAAAACATTTTCTTTCAGAGGATAACTTATAACCTTTTTGAATCCGTAAACACTTGAACTCCTGCTATATTAGAACAAAGCAAATTTCAATTTTGTTTTGTATAAAAAAAAAGAGGAAAAATTAAAAAGAAATGAAGGTTTTGAAACGGAATTAGATTTTTTTTTATATCATCTATGTAAATTTAAGTGTTCAAACTTAATTAGGGTACGGCCTTGAAAATTTAAGGACACATTTGATATGTGATTTTTTGGGACAACAAGATGGTTATCTTAGTGTTCCGCTCTACTTAAAGGGAAGACAGTATAATCGTTTGAAAATAAATATTCTGAAACTAAACGTTCATTATAATGCAAGAGAATAAGACAAATGTATGTGCATGCAGAATCGCCCAAGAAAAGGAATTTCCATGCGGCGCAAAGGATCACAATAATAGTGCGTTAAAAATCTGTTTACCCCTTGTTATAATAATACTAAGTATAAATTAGTATAAAAGTCTTAGGCCATCCGGAAATTGCAATAATGATTATTTGATTAGTAATTTATATAAATAAACGATGTTTCATCTCTCTTTTTTTTTCTTTTTTTCTTTTTTTTAGCATTAACAAATTCTTTAATGCACTAGTATCAAGTTGTTAACAACTGCCCTATATAATACAACTATTATATATAGGTTTATCTCTTCATTGTATAATGATTATCGTACATTGACAAATGTTCTACAATTTAAGCAATTTGGTCAAGTTTAAAATTGTCAATATGCAAGGGCGGACCGAGGCCATGATTTTTGAAAGGGACGTATTCATAAACGGATTTTATACCGCCGAGCGTAGCAAGGGGAACTTTTTTTAACGATTTAATGCTAAATAAAAAATCATATTTAAATCCTAAAAAACATGATAAAATAATTATTTCTAGCCACCAAAAAAGGGGGGGGGCGGCGTACTCCCTCTACTCCCCTGGATCCGCCACTGATATAATGTAACTATATCGTATACCATCATAAAATTTTAAAAAAGACGAAAAAAACAGAGACAGCCGCCAATCCCATATTTACTATAGGGACTCTGTAATCAAATGAGTTAAGCCTTTTTCAACTCACTAAATTTTATAGTTTGTTCATATGTTGTGCTGTTATACCACTTTTTTTTTTTTTTTGAGGGGGAGCGTGGGGGGGGTGGGGGCTTACACGTTCAACCTCGCCATTCTGTATGTACCAGTACCGAAGGAGCCTGTAAATCGGTTGTTGTATTTTGTTGCTATATATCATACATGTATTTGTTTTTCGTTTTTTATTTTGTACATAAATCTAGGTCGTTAGTTTCCACATTAGTTTTTTTTTACAGTTTTCATTTCGGGGCCTTTTTTAGCTTGCTATGCCGTATGGACGTTTCTCATTGTTGGATGCCATACGGTGTTCTATATTTGTTAACTTATACGTCATTTGGTCTCTGATGGAAAGTTGTCTCATTGTCATTTTTCACGGGCTAAATTGCCTATTAGGTTGTTCTACGAAGACGAAGACGAAGATATTGGACGTTATAATGTTGCAAACCAACTTTTATTTATAAAAAGAAATAATTCTTTCATGCCATGCTCAATGCTCATTTTAACATAGGAAGGCATTATATTTGTTAAAATTTTTAAACCAAGCGTTAGCCAGGTATAAAATATTGACAAATATAATGTCTACCTATGTTAAAATGAGCGTAGAGCATGGCATGATAGAACTATTTTGTTTCTAATGGGGAAGTTTAGAACTTGTGTATTTCGAAGCGGACATAAAATACACGTTCGAAAGGCAACCATTTTGATTGAGATACCCAAAACGTTCTAATAGATATAAGAAGATGTGGTATGAGTGCCAATGAGACAACTCTCCATTAAAGTCACAATTTGTAAAAGTAAACCATTATAGGTCAAAGTACGGCCTTCAAAACGGAGCTTTTTCTCTCACTGTCCGTCAATGGATGAACGAATGAGTAAATATTTTGTAAACATAGCGTATAGTGTAGTAAAGCATACTATCCTTACTCTTTTGATAAATTGATATGGTAACACAATCATTCCACATCTTCTTATTTTTACATCATTACAGTAGTATAGAAAACAAACAAACATTTTTGAGATGTATTTCTATTTGTATCCATCTGATGACTTAAGCCTTTTTCAACTGATTTTATTAGTTCGTTCTTATGTTGTACTGTTACACCAATTTCCTGGGTTAGGGGGAGGGTTGGGATCCCGCTAAGATGTTTAACCCCGCCCCATTCTGTATATATTTACCTGTCCCAAGCCAGGAGCCTGTATTTCAGTGGTTGTCGTTTGTTGCTGTGTTACATATTTGTTTTTCGTTCATTTTTTTGTACATAAATTAGGCCGTTAGTTTCCTCGTTTGAATTGTTTTACACTTGTCATTTGGGGGCCTTTATTGCTGACTATGTTGTATGAGCTTTGTTCATTGTTGAAGGCCGTACGGCGACCTATAGTTGTTAATTTCTGTGTCATTTGATCTCTTGTGACGAGCTGTCTCATTGGCAATCACACCACATCTTCTTTTTTCTATCATAAGGAATTAATGTAAGTACATGATATAAAGTATTTATTTCCATTTAAACTAAGTTCGAAGATAAGATCAATAAGGTATACGTATAGCATTCAAAAAAGTCTACTCCCTATTACGAAAAGTTCCCGTTTGAAATATATTTTAACACATGTTTGTATTGCAATAACATCTTTATAACATCTTTTTGACTCAAATATTTAATTTCTTCCGATGGGCAATGTCCAGATCCGTGCTACCGTAGCTTTTCATAAATTTGTGGTTTCAAAACAAAACAAAACCGGGTCCTATACTGAGACAAAACAGGGTCCTTGTGTAATAAACAACATTGACGAAACAGGGTCCTTCCATTTTGACATGACCCATTTATTTCGTTCCATGCATAGAAATGCAAATATTGAGGTGCTCATAGTGACTAGCCATGCAATCTCTGTGTTAATATCTTTCTTTCCGTACTTTTCTTTCCGTGCAATGTGCACAATTTAAAGAGAAATTAAACAAATTCGTAGCAATGTTCACTCAATTCACCATTTTCGTGTGCCTTTTTACTTATTTCTCCATTAATCTAGAACGGTTGTAGAAAATATTACATCACACAATCGAAAATAGTTATATGTGTATGTTTATTCTTCAATGTCATTAAATAACAAATAAATAAACAGAAATTCTACCTTTTCTCTGTCTGTTGATTGTCCGTCACCGTACCGGACATTAGATACTATCGAGTCCAAACATTTTTTGCCGGGGTAGTTTAGACACAGTGAATTATTTTTATGAATAGAGCGTTGAATTAAAATGTAGAATTCGCTCTAATATCTACATAATTTTTACTACATGTCGCGAAATAAATGAGATGTGGGGTATACGTCAATGCGACAGCAACACATCAACATGAACAAAACCAAGATATCTAGTCATCAGTAATAGACAGGTGTCTATACAATTGGGAACGTTGTATTGTGCTTTGAATAATGAAGACAAAATTATGCTACATGTATGCATGCTTTCAAATTTTATGCTAGCCATGGAATAAGTAACAAAGACATTCCTTAATATATATGTTCACAGATTATGTTTATAAACATTTGTGCATTAACATTATACCATGGATTCTATAGTACTAAAATCCGTGAATACATTTAATATAATTGTTCGCGTATATATTATCATGGGTCAGAACATAGTTTATATTAATGCTATCTTTTTTTATCGTTCTATCTTAAAAAATTATCATGCATCATCTGTACACGGGCTCCGAATTGAAATTAAAATATGTTTATTTGACTAGGATATATCTCCATTTTATCCGAAAATTTAGAAAAAAAAGGGTTTGATGCACGTTGGGGGTTACATTGTTGCAAATAACATTAGAATTTCACGATGGATTTTTCTCATGAATATTATTAGGCGGTTATCATAGCAGCCCTATTATCTCAGATGTTTTGGTTTTCTTATTCAATTTATTAAGTGTAAGAGAAAAACAAAGCTGTCTTATAGAAAGAAATACTTTCTTTCCATGCAGTATAAATTGAAAGGCAATGGAATAATTTACTCTTTTATTATCTGATTAACTTGTCTATCTTTTCTCATATATTATAGTTTTGAAGTCTTTTTTTATGCAAAACAACTAAAAGATTCATGAATCAAGCATGTTTACAAATCGTGAGGGTATAAAATTTCACCGAACCTTATTTATGCAGATAGGCACTATTCAATCTATCAATTGTTATATATTATTTAGTGTATGTGCTTTCTGGTTTATTTGTCTTTTTTTTTTTGTAGTCCGCGAGGATTCACCATCATTATTAAAGTAGATTTGTGCAACAAAAATGGATGTGAAATATTTCATTGTTTTAGTTTTTGTCTTAAGTATTACTGAACAAATATTTTCAAAGTCAATACAGAATATAACATCATTGGAAGAAGACACCATAAATAGTCGACTGGAACTTTTGGAAACCAAACTTACTTTGTTAGAAAATGAAAGTAAGTATATATATAGTACCTTTAAGTTTTTAGTGTACTATCATGCAACTCATTTGAAAAGAAAAAGTTTTACATGTTTTGTTCTACAAACAATATTTCTTTGTCTCGAACAGTTAAGTCGTAAGCTCCCCCCTAAAGAGATCACAGAAGATTATAAAGTGCAGACACACATGTATCAGTGGATTGACCCTACTGATGGTTAGCCACTCTCTACTATTTCACTTTAATCAATTATGTGCATGTGCATTATTTTATATATTATCTATGAATATGGAAGAACTGTGATTAAAGACGGTATTACCCGTTTTTTTTTTTTTGCTCACCTGCCCAAAGCGTCAAGAGATTTTCTCATCACTTGGTCTCCGTAGTCCTTCGTCGTCGTCCGTTTACACAAATTTTCGTCTTTGAAACTATTTGTTTAAATTTAACCAATCTAGGCCATAATCATTATTGGGGTATCTAGTTTTAGAATGTTCCCGATGACCCCGCCTGTCAACCAAAATGGCCGATATGGCTTAAAACTGAACAAAAGGGTAAAATGCAAGTGTTAGCTGTCTATTATCTTGAAAACCTCTATAAATAAAGAAAATCTGACAGGGACAGGAATGTCCAGAATGTTGAGATCTACCTACTGTCCATTAAATCAAAATTGTCAGACGACTTCTTATAGGAGTTATTGCCATTTAATGACGATATTTCCCCCCCGTTTTTGTCTTCATTTTTGCCTCTTACCTTGACAACTGTAACTTACAAATTAAGCCAACACAAATTAATGTTAATGAGTTTAGTGTTGTGAGTATTATCTATCTATGTCTATTTTGCTAAAATGGGCTAACAAAAATACAGATAAAAACGGATTAATCCGTCGTTAAAATGGGCTGTAATGTCTGCGCTAAAATGTCCCCTAGTAGTTTTAAATTATTTACTAACATGTCATGCGCCCTACCGCATAGCAAGCTGTAAAAAAAAACCCGAAATGACAAATGTAAAACAATTTTAACGAGAAAACAAATGGTCTGATTTATGTACAAAACAATAAACGAAAAAACAAATATGATATACAGCAACAAACGACAACCATCGAATTACAGGATCCTGACTTGAGAAAGGCGCATAAATAATATGACGGGGTAAAAAACATGTTAGCGGCGCCCAACCGTCCACCAACCTGTGGCAGCGGTACAACATGACAACACCAGAACAAACAGTACACAACAATAGACAAATATGATAAACAGCAACACATGACAACCAATCAAGTCTATTCTGTTCTGAAATATTAAATGATCATTTGATTACGAAAACGTCTTTTAAATTAAAAAAAAACAACATTAGTACAAAGTATGAGTAATATTAGTTCTGTTTCGGTTTTCATAATGTCTATAATCAAATATTTGAAGTCTGCACTCTGAACCATTAGTCAATACACGACGAAAAGAATATGTATGCATAAAAAGCGTGAATAAACAGAGGTGTGTTTTACGTCAATAAGACAGTAATTAAACGACACAAAGACAAGAGACATCCAGAGGTCAGCATAATAATTATATGGTCTGCAGGAATAGAAACACAGGTATACGATATGACAAGCTCTTAATCGTCCGATATGACAAGCTCTTAATCGTCCCTAGTCTAGAAAAACATGTCAAATAGGAATGAAAGGATATCGGGTATCCATCCATGACACAAAAAATTTGTATATGCACATAAAAAAAGCAAAGGAATAACGCTTTTATTACAGTTCTTCATCTCAAAATCACAATGAGTCCTTCAACACGGAGTTAAAAAAAACTCTCACCTCACTGGAAGTTTAAAATTTTAAATTTGTGTATTTTACCCTAGCACCGGTTTGAGCGGAATTATTTGCAAACTGACGAACTCGCTACAACTGTGAATTGAAGAATAAAGCCATGGAGCAATACCAATAAAATAAATCTGGCAAAGAAATCAAACATATATAGTCATAATTTAGACCAACAATGACACTGAAGTTTGCAAAAAACAATACAAACATTTCGACAATCACGGGGCACATCGAGATATGAGACTAAATCAAAGATCTGAAAAATCACTAAATAAGAAACATTTCAAGATGAAACTAAACACACAAACTACCGATGTTCATGATTGGGGACAGGCTCATAAATATTTGGAGGCTTATTTTTTATATCTTAGCCATAGTTATTTTTTCTTGTCAGTAGAACAACACATGATACATAAAAGCGTGCAATCAAAATTCGTACAGGGTCAACATGTTCTATAAGACCGGTAAAATAGAAAACAAAGACTTAAGGTCATGAAAAAAATCCAGAGAAAAACATAGTACCCGTTACAAAAATGTACCAAATGAAGGTTTTAAAGAATTCTGAATACTCTTTTAAAGGATGAACAAACGTAGATGTTGAATATACGTCAATGATGCAGTAGCCCAACGACACAAGTAAGCCAATGTCAATATATAGTCTTTAATACCAAACAGGTGTTTATTCAATATGTCAATCATTAACTAAATCGTCTATGTCTAATGAAGTGGTGATTAAACTAAATAGAAACTATTAAAGTTTTACCATAACTTTCCAAGTAACACAAACAAAACAACTTATATCGACCTTCCTGACAGGAACATAAATACGTGAAGGTATGGAACGCCATGACTGTCTTCTGATGTTGATTGTTAAATATGTTCGGTGCTTTTTGCATTATGTTTATAGTATTTATATTATGTTCAGTAGTTTTCATATTATGTTCAGTAGTTTTGACATTATGTTCGGTGCTTTGGTTATTATGTTCAGTAGTTTCATTATTATATGCAGTGGTATTTAAATTATGTTCGGTACTTCTGACGTTATATGCAGTGCATTTTTCATTATGTTCAGTACTTTCGACATTATGTTCAGTAGATTCAATATTAATTGCAGCACATTATGTATTACCTTCAGTGGTCCCGGTTTCTTTATATTTGGTGGATTATTCATTATGTTCAGTAATAGCATCAGTATAATACTCGGTTCAATGAACTATATGTTCAGTAGTTGTATAATTATGATGATGCAGTAAAAATTGGGAAATCAATAACGGAAATTGTCGGAAAAAAACGAACGCGGACATTTTTGACGGACGTTTTCTTCATGGACACTTTTACGGGATGGAATGAAAATGGAAGAAATGGAAGCAGTATTAAATTGGTTTGGTTAACGTTCCTACGTTGGCAATTTTCACAAGGAAAAAAATACTCCTGACTTAATTTGTAAGATGTCATGATTGATTGATTGTTGTTTTCTGAACGTATAGTGGCAAATATTTCACGCATATTTATGACGGAGAGAAGAATTTTTAAACAAAAAATAAGAAGTTGCATGTGTTGTCGTTGATACACTATGACCATAGAGAGACGACAAAAAGACAAACAGCTAAAAAAAAATAATATAAAAACATATTCTATGGTTTTTGTATTCCTAGAAGGTAACCCTTTTTGATGGTTGGTTGTAGCATATTAATTTCATGAACCGACTTACCGACTTTCAAGAAAATCTCCTTCTTTAAATATCAGATATTTATTTGAAATAACCCAAGATATATGAGGTTGTGGATGAGGTTTACAGAATAGAGAATAATGCCCCTACCCCCAAAAAAGAGAAGGTGGGCAAAAAATAAAGAATAGAGAATAAAGGAGTGCTTTAAAAAAAAATGTTTAAAACTTTGAAAAAAGGTAAAAAAAAAATGATAACAGAATAACTAAACTTTTTCTGCATACCGAATTTATTATTGATATGGAATGAAATGTTGAACTGGTCGTAATCAGAACTGGTTATTTGATGTTACCATGCAAATTATGTACATTCGATATTTTCCTCGAAAATCACGATCTTGCACGAGTTAACAAATCTTGACGTACTATTTCGTCCACTATTGCAGACAAAGATAATCTTACATTCTTCTCCTGCATTGTGTCAGAAATTATTACAACAGTGATAAAACAGTTCGTGATAGAGTTCAGACAAAAATGACAACAAAAAGCTCTGCAATAGCAAAAAAAACAAAAACAGAAAACAACTAGTCATAAATTTCATACATTCAAAGAGCTACATTGAAATTTATGCTGGTATGCAAGGGTATAGAATGAAATATTGTACAAAGTGCTACAAACAATGAACGTTGAGTATCAGTATGATTGTCATTTTAAAGTCATTTATTAAGATTTTTAATCTTCCAATTTCAAGCTGTATACACAAAAACTAACTGGTCTAAGTGTAAATATGATTACCATAGACTGTCTATTAGACAGGTAATGGATATCAAAATACAAAGTGCAAAACTTAAATTATGTGCAAATGTTCACCATTTCTGTACAGTTATGGTTATTATCTTAAAGTAATGCATAAAACATGACCCCTTTTGTTTAATAAGAGACTAGAAACTACCCAAATCAATAACTTAATATCTGTACTTGAACAGAGCGTTTAAAAACATATTTCTGGATTTAGTCTCTAGATCCACCAAAGATAGCCAGAATGAAGAGGAATAGATTGACAATATCCAGATACAGGTTCGAGGCTAATCCGTGTTACCATACTATGGCATGGTATTGGTTGCAAAAATTTGTAATTTTAATTTAAATGCAATATTTCTTATTTAATTGGTATATATCTTCATTTAAACGCAATATTTTTTGATTTGAATGGTATATCTTTTCATTTCAATGCAATATTTTTTATTCAGATGGTATAATTTTTCATTCAAATGGTATAATTTTCATTCAAATGGTATAATTTTTCATTCAAATGGTATAATTTTCGTTCAAATGCAATATTTTTTATTCAGATGGTATAATTTTTCATTCAAATGGTATAATTTTTCATTCAGATGGTATAATTTTTCATTCAAATGGTATAATTTTTCATTCAAATGGTATAATTTTCGTTCAAATGCAATATTTTTTATTCAGATGGTATAATTTTTCATTCAAATGGTATAATTTTTCATTCAAATGTTATAATTTT